TTAATAATGCCAGGGGTGAGATGTTTCCGTCAAGATTTTCTCGGTTTTCAGGCTCTTTCAAATAACTTGGAAACAGCTGAGTTCACCATGAAGGTGATTTTGCTGGTAATAGTTGATGCAGAACACGAGCAATGGGCATTTGAAGGTATGCCTTGAAGTGCACCTTAGACCTTGTGCTACTGCGTGGCCCACAAAGCCTCTGGTGATTATTTCCTTAATCTTTTGTTTCCCTCCAACCTCATTGCTGAAATGCACATTTTTGTGCTGACACCTCACAAGGGTGAAATTTCTCAGCTTTTTAGCTAATTTCAGCTTTTTTTGTTCTGGATTTCAGCTTTTTTTCCTCACTGGCTGTGTACAAAAGTATAGGAGATTTTCACAGTTCAGCTTCTTTATGCCATTTTTTCAGCTGTTTTCAGCAATTTCTATCATTGGCCAATCTCACCCTGTGTTTGCCTGGAGTGTCATATGCACAAAAAGTCATGAAGTTCACCAAACTAGTAGGTCACTTTAAGGGAGGTGTCGTGCCTGTGTGTTTCTTGTACATGTTTCCGTGCATTTGCGTTGTATTTTTTCATCTCCACCTCTGCTCAGACAGATGCTGGTTCATCTGTGTCCACTGGGATTTATTTTTGTGAAAGTTTAATGTTCCCAAAGAGTTAAGAACAACTGATGTTTGAAGAAAATTTATTTTTCATGAGAAAATGTCCTTATCCGCTCATAATTCGGGAAGGAAAGAAACCGTTGGTACATGTAGGTGCACTTGAAAATTCACGCACAAAATGAACAAAGTCTTTGAAATAGATATATAGCACTTTTTTAGTATCCGTTTTTGTTTTAGCACATGTGACATATGTAATAATCTACTATGTACGAAACTTCTCTGATTCAGAAAACATCGTAAATTTTATGTGAAACTTCTATAAAAAGTATTCTGCTTGAACAAGAGGCTAATTTAGATATTAGCAGGTTTGATCAAGGACTGATTTTGTTAACCATAGTCTTGGGTTGCTGCCATCTTTCGCATGATTGCAGTAATGGATGGAATGGCTTGATCCACTGGGATAAGGGCACAAATCCAGTTTTTTTTGAGCTGTTGGTGTTGTTCACAAATCAGAAGTTACGAAGAAATTTGGATATTAGTGTGTGTGTGCATAAAAAGTGGCAGTCGCAAGTGGAGATTTCTGTGATCACCTCAGGAAATTAAGGGCCAGTCCAGTAAAGGCTGGTTTCAGTGTTTGTTTATTAGTGTACAGCCTTGCATATCACAGAATGCAGCAGCGAGCCAGGAATGTTAGCTTTTATGATAATCTTTGACTGTAATAGATGGGGGATATTTGCACTTTAATCTCTGACCCTATGGGACCCTTCTGAGCCCTCCAGTTGGGTTGGAAGGATTTTCTGCAGGAATGGGGAAATTAGAGTCCAGCCACAGTTAAGCCTCATCTGACTGTGGCTATCCACGGCACGCACATCCATGGAAATGACTGTGGCCCCTAGCCAGCTTTTACCATGAGCACATGTGTTTACTTCAAAGCCATAGCCTCAAAATGAGACTTGGTGCTGTTGAAAGTTTGTATATGAATGTTATATTGGTTTGCTGCACCGATTCTTGGAAGATCCAGGAGGTTCCTAGCGAAACACCCAGGAAATTCACTGGTTCACTGCCTGATTGCAACTCAAGCAGTGAACCGATGAGGCTGGTCCTTCCACTCTCTTAGGGCTGACAAATCTAATCAATAAATGTTCTTGTTTTTAAGTGCCTGTTTGCTATTGAGCCTTCATCACTATGCACATTTCTCAAGCAGTATTAAACACAGATTGTTGCTTGACTCTGTCAATACCAAGCAATTTATGGATATTAGTATGCAAACTTGTATATTTATCCCACTTCCACTTGTCACCATCTGAGTGTGAATTGGTGATTTATGTTAATACGAAATCAACCAATAAGTGTTCTTTTTCTGTACTTAATAGATGAGCAAACCTCACCAGTAACAGAAATGATTCTGTTGTATACTATGCACACTGAGTTGATGTACAGTAGTGTGAAATTTCTGGTTGAACATTCACATTCTAGGCTATATGTATGCATGAGTTCCCAATGTTTATGAATAAAAATGAAGGAATTGTATCATGTCATCCTAATGCGTCCAAGTTTCTGTCTTCTGTCTTGAATTTGCCAAATGTGCCAACCTGATGTTGAAATCATCTCCTACAAGTACATGTATATACATGTACCCGGCCACAAACATACAATAGTGCTCTTCCTTTAATGTTCACTTCATCTCACCATTCAGAATCTACCCATCTTTGCATGCTCTCTTATTTTTTTTTTGAGACTTGTGTGGATACATACACCAGTATGGGGTCAGTTAGACTTTTTATCATCAAACCATTCCTGGTGATAAAAGTCTATGCTGCTTTCATTCAACAGCTGGTTCTTGCCCACTGGACTACATGTACATGTATACATGTTGATCGGAAGTCACCGGAGACCTCTAATTTTTTTGAATACTCATCTGATATGGTTTTTTGATTGGTAACCTTGGTCAACACTCCCGCATATGGGCATACAATGCAAGTGCATGCATCAGTGTGGTGTGCTACCCACAATCCTTTGCATGTCCATTGCAACATTTCGCGGCTGAAGCTAGCAGTCACCAAGCCCCCTTATGTCCAGTAGGGCAGCAGCTCTGAGCTAAATGTTCCAGCAGGAAGTTTCAGGTTGTGGTTAGTGAGTTTGCATGGCCAAAAAATGATGACACTTGTGCTCAGTGGACTCATTTCATATGCTGTGCATCCCAGCTTTTACCCTTTAATTGTTGCTCTGTTGCCACGACTCCCCATCACATCACTTATTCCTTGATTCTGTCTTCATTCAGTGGATCAGTCATTCAAATGTCTAGTTCCCTGGGTTGTCAAGTTGGTGCTGTTGCTTTTGATAATCACTTTCTGGCAGTGGTATCTTTAAGATTTGGTAACATGTTTGCATTAAAACTGCCCCCATTACTCATCATTGTGGTCATGGTGTAAAATCAAATGGGTGATTCACAATATAGCGTGCCACCATGAGGTGGCCTAGGAGAGGCCATTGTTCAAGGTCACAGTCCACAAAACCATGGCATCCTTGCTTGTGTTTGCATGGAGCATATATCAGTAGACAACGTGAGGAAATTTTAGATACACGGAGACATTCCATGCAATCAAAAGAAGAGAGGGTTAATTGAAAGGGCTTCTCAAAATCTTCCTGGACAAACACTGGAACTAATTCAAGTTCCCTTTGTGCAACCAGTGTATAGAATTTGTGGACCATTTCCCACAATACACTGCAAAAAGTGACCTTTCCATGGCAACATCTTGGTGGTGCAATGCATTGTTCATCACTTGTATTGGTGTTTGCCTGACAAAGCAAATGTTGATTCGTTGTGGATGTAGCATCTTCAAAGTGATATTTCCCTTTCTGATCAAACAGAATATCACAGTAAATTCAGTTATTGATATAAATGATCCTTTTAATATTTGCTGCCTTGCTGGTAAGTTATTAGTTGTACTATCAGTTGAAGAAGAATCAGCCTTGTACTATCTCAAACAAAAATAGTTCTTAATTTATTGCATTGATAAATCAGTTTATTTTACAACTGTGCACAATTTTTGCTTTCCTCAGTACAATATAACAAATTGATATAAATTTGATGATTAAAATTAAAGAAATATTTCTGTTAAAATAGAGTAGTACCTTAGTTCATTTCCAGACTCCTCAGACGTTCAAAACTGTTTGACAAATATTTTTCCAACAATGAAGCTTGATAATTATACATTTTTGAGCTAGAAACTACAACTTCATCACAAGCTTGCTTTACTGCTGACTTTTCTGACTACGACACTTTGAGAAGGCTATGAAGGTTGTATTAACCTTCTCTTGGCCTTGTTTTCTTTCCTTTTGCATCAGATGGCCCGACGTGATGAAAGCCTCGGACAAATGCGGGAGGAACTGATGGAGGCTCAGCAACAGTACACCACCTGCTATGATGAGGTTAGAAATGCACTGCACACTACCTCTATCACTTTAATACTAATACCATTATACACTGTTAAGTGAATACTATGCTGTTATTCCACTGGTTAACCAAGGGACACCTCCCTTTCCCTGACGTACAAAAATAGGTTCCAAATAAATCCACTCCACATACTACTTGTTCATAGTTTGACTAGCCAACCTTAGGAAACTCCCCCCCTCACACCTCCCACTATAAGGTTCCAAGTCCACTCCACATACTACTTGTACATAGTTTGACAGGCCAACCGTAGGAAACTCCCCCTACACACCTCCCACTATAAGGTTCCAAGTCCACTCCACATACAACTTGCACACAGTTTGACTGGCCAACCGTAGGAAACTCCCCCCCCTCACACCTCCCACTATAAGGTTCCAAGTCCACTCCACATACTACTTGTACATAGTTTGACTGGCCAACCGTAGGAAACTCCCCTCCTCACACCTCCCACAGTGAGGTTCCAAATTCACTCTACACACTACTTTTACTGATAATTTCACACTTTCTCCAGCCATATTCAGAGGAGAACTGCAGGTGGCAAACGCTCCCAAAGATGACTAGAGCATACTGGTCAGAAAATTGATTTCAAATCGCCAGGTCATATTAGAATCGTGTTTCACCCCAAAAGCAACTTTTCTCCCTTACGATGTCACTGGAACCTTCACCAGTTGAATCTTTTGTAAACCCCTCCCTCCCAAAGAAGAACTGGTCTGGCATTGCTTTTTTTTCATCCAGGTGATTAAGCTGGAGGACCTACTGGATCGCGTCCGAGCAGAGAACGCCAAGCTGCAGAAGCAAGGCGAACACGACGCTGGGGAGCTGCTGGCCTTAGCCGAGCAGGCCCAACGGCTGGAGCTGGACCTGGCTGTGGTGCAGGAGAAGCACCGCACCTGCCAGAAGGAGGTGGCGGCCCGGGACCAGACCGTGCTCCGGCTGCAGGCTGAGCTGGACACGACACAGCAGCAGTACCAGGGCTCACTGGAAGAGGTTGGTCAACTTGTATGTCTGTGTAGTAGTAGGCTTTTATTCACATGATGGTCATTTTGAATCATGCTCCCACGTTTGTTTCACACTGGTTCGCCATTTGGAAAATAAAAGGTGGCATGGCTTTTATCCAAGATTTGAAATTTGTACCCATTAAGGTGAAAGGATGGTAATCTTTCATTTGACCCTTTTGCATAATCTTCAGTCCCATATATATTAATTTTTTAGAAAACATCTATAGTGACTGCTTCGCTTTCAATTCAAGATGGCTGACACGTGAATAAGGCTAAGCATCCAGTTCAACTTTAGCAAGAAATGTCTTTTATTTAAGCTGTGTGAATAAGATTTCCAAGAGGAATGAGATTTCCAAGAGCTACCTTGTGTGAAATTTATTTGTTTACCAAATAATCTCTGAATCACATTGCAGTTAGCTGCACACGAGGAGGACCTACAGGAAGCCAGGGCAAAGGTCAAGAGCCTCCAGGGAGAAATTCGTGACCTGCGAGACGAGTTAGCCCAGAGAGAGAGGAAGGTGAACCAGCTTTCTGTCTGTGGAAGTTGATGGTGCATGAATCAATAGAGGAAAAATGACCAAAGAAATAATTATGTGCACAAATCTCTTCATGCTCTGGCAAGAAGCCAGTTAGGTATTCCAACGGCACATGCTCAGTGCAAGGCTATTTGGGAACAGCTGCGTGCGTATGCGATAGTCTGTCCTATCAGCGCAGCCAAACATTGACATGCGTGCTTTGTTCCTGAAAAACCTTGGGTTTCTGAACTACCAAACTGGTTCATTTGTGTATCCGTAAACCGGGGTAACTTTGGCACCATGATGTAACTTTGGCACAAGCTATGGTATCCCCCTTGGTTGTAGTCGTCGTATCATCGCAGCCCCCTATATGAATGATATAAAATTCTCTCAAATGATTCCATGAAAGTAATTTTATTATAAAATACACCTGGAGACTTGGCCTGAAGGATTTGCCATTTTTAAAACTTTGTTATAATCCTTTTTGATGTGTTTCATTAAATTCCAGCGACATGCCAAAGTTGTCCCGAACCACAGGGTAACTTTGGCAGCACTTAACTGAAACTCACAATTAAAAGAAGTGGACCGATGTTTGCTACTTCTAGATTAGACAAATATGTGCAATCAACAATGAAAAATAATTTCTTTTTTCGGAAAAGCAGAAACAATCACGATTTTAACTTGCCAAAGGGACCTGGTTGACGGTGTTGTTTGAAAGAATTATTTTAGGCCCATGTGAAAATTATTGTTTATGTCAAAGAATCTTTAAATTTGTTTAAATACTCGTATGTTTATGTTTCATTTGCAGATACATATCCAGTCAAAATGAATACGTATTAAACAGTTAAAGTTTCATTAATTACCCAATGATTCCATCAGTTAATGGTGCAAAGCTAAATTGTACTTGCTTGGATCGTTCTTGACTTCTGCTGTTTTAGGTGGCATCAGACGAGAAATTTATTCATCAGCTGCAGGAGCAATGTCAGACGTCTCGAATGGAGGTAACCCCACTCTCCCTGAACCTTTGGCATCCAAGTAAAATTCAGCTTGAAGGCCCGTGCGCCTATCTTTGCAACAGAAATTGGAGACTTTTTAAAACAATGTTTAACATATGGATCGCAACCTGTTTAATGTCAGGCCGACAGTTTTTTCCAAAGATTTTTTTCCAGTAGAAAACAGTTTTCAGTTTTTCTCATCTTCAAACCCTCAAGTGAAATTAGACACTGGTGAAGAAACAAGTTATCATAATGTGTGGGCAACAGTTAAGCTCTTCTGTGCTCCACCCAACAGAGTCAGACCCACCTGGCCGAGATCGGCAAGCAGCAGACATCCCTCCAGGCTGCCAAGCAACTCCACGCGGAGGACGTGCGCAGCTTCACGGCCCAGGTCAACGACCTCAAGCACGAGCTGGAGGAGGGGCGGGCGCAGCTGGACAAGAGCGAGCTGCAGGGGCTGCAGCACAAGAGCGCCGCCGACGGACTGACGGCGGACCTGGAGAAGACACAGCAGCTGCACAAGAGTGCCATGGACAGAGTAAATCAGAACTTTGCAGATTAGTGTAAATGTTGATGGCTGACATCAAAAAGTACATTGGACTCAGCTTTAAACATGCACTAAGAATAACTGGGATGGACTGTGCTGGAGAACTTGGGTCTTCAGAGACATTATTGTGGCACAAGAAATGTTTTCGATCATGTTCTCAAATCTGTCTTATTCAGTGTACTCTGTCAAATGGGGTGGTGCCAGCCTATGGTATTTTGGGTTTCATGCCTCAGTTTCATTTAAACTTTGCTTAAACATTTATCGAGTACATATATATGTAATAAATCACAAATTTTGAGTAACTCATTGTAAATGAAATCGATCTGTACTGAAATTTTGTTTCGTTGCTTTGAGTTGTATTCTTATGTTACCAAAAAAAAAGTTAACCTCACTTTCTGTTCAATGTGGCTGACTGGTGAATAAGGTTGATTGAAAGTACCTTGTGGTCATTTCTTAAGGATGGGACAGTAACTCTAGTTTGGTGAAGCACTACACTTGCTTTGAAATTGCATGGATGGCATAAAAATACTTATCAGGACGCCCACAGTTTATAAAACAAACCAGTGAACCTTTCTCCCTGTTTACGTCAGATTGTGCAGTTGAATCGATCCCTGGAAGAGCGGAAGGAGTCATACTCCCGAGCCAGGCAGGACGTGGCCAAGTTGCAGGACCAGCTGGAGCAGGTCCAGTACACCACGCAGGAGGTCAACACCGAGTTGGCCAGCTACAAGGAGCGCCACGGCCAGGCCTTGGAGCAGCTGCAGAGGGCGGAATCCAGCTCAGCAGCCACGATACGAGGACTAGAGAAACAGATCGGGGAATGCCAGAACAAGGTGTGTAAACCCACAGGAAGGTTTGTCAAGGTTTGACCCCGGTGAAGCAAAAATGCTAGAAAGGAAGGAATGTGACATGAATCCTGTTTTTGCTTTTTCCTCGGCCCTGCGTTTGTTTCCACATGAACTCTGATTCACACTTGCGATATTCTTGACAATCATTGAAGAACCTCTTTTTTTCAATTAACTGAAAACATTCTACCATTTCCTTTCGGCCAATAAAATTTAAATTTGTAGACTGCAAAAACATTCTTCAAATATCATAAGCATTACATTACTTGAATTCTTGATCCATCGTTGCCCTCACATTACACGTTAACCTCACATTAATTCTACATATGCGTTAAAGAAACTAGAGTTGGATCGACCTAGATGGTCTCAACAAAGGTACAGAAATAAGAAAACTAAATGCAGTAGTGGAGATGAAGTCAAAGTTTTTGAAAAACACATAGAAATACTCTTTTTTTTCCACCTATGGTGCCCGATGTATACAACATGTACATCTCTGAGCATTATTGTTTCGTAGATCAAAGACAAAGACGACACAGCCGACAAACTCCGTCGCTCCCTCAACGACCTGGAGCTACAGCTGAACGACAAGACAGATCACGTCCAGAAGGCAGAGCGGGTGATAGACTCCCTCACAAAGGAGCTGGACAAGACCCAGGGGGAGCTAAAGGCGACCAAGGAGAAGCTGGAGAACAGCGAGGACAACATTGAAAACTTGAAGGATAAACTACTGGAAAAACAGCAGCAGGTATTAAACCATCAGATCATATTCATGTATTTCTTTGAGTTCTTTCTGACTAAGAAACCAGCAGCTCCTCAGGAGTGTACTGGCTATGTAGCTTCAAAGACCTAGGGAAAGCCGAAGAGAGAAGATGAAGACATTTTTGGTATTGAAGGTGGGAGGAAAACCCCAGAAAGACGTTCCTGGATATAAAGTGCTT